AATTTATTTTAAGTTATAAAATTTATATTATGTTTATTTAAATAAAGATTATAAATTTAGCTTGTTTCGAATTAATTCGAAAATATCTAATAAATTGTATAATTATTGTGTTTTAATATATTTTTTATTATTTAATTCATGATCCATATGCAGATCAGAAAAATTACTATATATATTAAATATAAATGTGGTAATAATTGTTTTATAAAATTTTAAGAGAGACTTGAATCTGTTACTGTTGCTATATCAATGTGGTTTTAAAAAAGCAAAAATATAATAAAGGTATTTTTAAGATATTAATAATATTTTTTTGAAGTTTTAAATAACTTTTTTACTAAAAATTTATAAATTTTAAAAACTTAAAATTTGCTACATTTAATAGGCTAACTTTGAAGACCAATAAAAAATTTTTTTTCTATTATAAAAACACATACATATTAGCAATAATTCTTTTTTTCAATGTCAAAACATAAAAAATATACTATTAGTTTAATTTTTTGTGGTTGTCTAGTTGAAGATTTATACTTTGGTCCTTTTTGTCATAACTGGTGGATTTCAAGACTATCAGAAAAAAATAATGATTTTTGTTTTCTTTTTCCTATCCATTTACATTCTAAAATTTTAATAGTTCTAAATGAATATGATTTTATTATTGAGGTTGGACAATTAAATTCACAATTTGGACCACATCCAAGCTATATCTACAAATGTAATGAAGTACAAAGCGAATTATGCGAAACACCATCAACAGCTATTACAACAGTATATCAACAAATTTTTAAATCAAAAACTAATTTTTAGGGCCAGAAATTATGGGTTACAATACTCCTGAAATTGTTCAAGAATATCTCAATGAACTTTCATTTCGAGTCTTTAATTATTCTTTTAATAAGCTATGAATATGGATACTTGGAATTGACAAATCAAATAATAAAAAGCTTCGGTTTGTTGGTTCTGGTTTCAAATCAGCTTTTATTTACTATTATAACAAACAACATAGTATTTTTTTCAAGAGATAGAATCGAATGAATGCAAAATTACAATATATACGGAAAATAATATTCAAACATTTATTGACGATGATTTAGAATCAGTATGGAGTCAAATTAGCTGTTTAAAACAATTTACAGACTATCAACTTTTTGGACTTGATCACCAATATGTTCAAAAGCTTATTCGTGAAATTCAAATTCCTACATGCACATTATCAAATTGGAACAATGATGATTTAATGACATCAATATATAAGTACCATCTTAAACGGCATACCTGTGCTCAAGTTAATTGGCAACAATTATTTTAAAATTGGCTATTACAAGAAAGTACAGTAATTGAATTATAGTTAACTCTACAAAATTTGTATTCAAAAAACTATATATTGAAAGATCATGAATATTGGGCATGAGAATCTTTTTTATAGCATGTTGGATATGTAGAAATTACTCCATTTGACAAAAAAACAATCAAAGGCAAGACTAATATAATTAGTAAATACAATTAAGCTTAAAGCTATCACTATATAATCTATTGCTATTTATTTAGTTTAAATTTTGGTCAAGATTAACGAATCCAGATGCAGATAAAGCCTTATTAGCAACGTTGTATACTCTTGGATTTTTAAATATAATACCAAAAGGAATCAAAAATAATACTGAGACTTTTTAGCAAAGTTTTAAGAATTTTTTGAATAATAATATCTGTGGTGAAAATGGCAAATGTTGCATTTTATCTATAATTGCAAATACCTTTATTTACGAAGAAATTAAAGAAACTCTAAGTGTTAGTTTTAAAATTTTTAAAAACATAAACATATTTATATAATTATAAATTACTTATCTTATAAATTTTTATATTTTTAAGGTTTCAAACGATGCAATAAATGCTGCAAGATATCATGCAAATATTTATAGTCCTGGAAAGCAAATTATAAACAAGCCTATTGTTATGTATGAAAAGATGTCAGTTGAAAAAGAACAACAAATTCAACAGTTTTTAACAAATAGAGCAAATGTAATTATGAGCTCGTACAAGACTGATCCAACAACTAATGAGCCTGTATTCTATCTAAAACATTCCAAAGATGTACTTTGGAAACGATTTCATGAAGAATTTCCAGATGATATGAAGCATACTAGTTTTTATACACATCTACAAAAAGATCAATACATTTATTGTGAGAATTTAGGTGGGCTCTGCCAAACTTGTTTAAAATATAGTTATGATACTTTTGAAGAACTTACTGAATATATTCGAAATCATGTAAAGGATCACAAAGTTCAAGTATGTAAATAGTAAATAAATACTGTAGTATCAGAAAAATCTGTAATTTGCTTTTAATTTACCTTATTATACAAAATATAATATAATTAGTTAAAATCTAGTAATAGTAAAGTTAAAATTGAAAGTAAATTTACAGGTTTTTCTTAATAATACTCAAATATTACTATAGTTGTATTATCGTTTTATCGCTAATCTAATAATGTATATTATTTATTTTACTAGAAGCAATTATTAGAAAGTTGCGAAATGTTAAACAGATTTTTAAAACGTGATTATGAAACTCATTTTCATGTTACAGCTAAAGGTACTACATCTCATGATAGCTATATAAACCACTGTTTAATGTATGCATTTGGAGAATACTATCAACCTCATTTACATACCTGTAATAAATATAATGTTATCTTTGAATTTTTTTCTGAGCTAAAAGCCAATTCTGAAAATGATGAACATGAAAAATTATCTGAATTGCAGGATCTTATATGCTATTATATTGCCCACCAAACACATAAAGTTTATTTGAATGGACAATTTAATACGAACTTATTAAGTTTAAACAAAAGTAAAGCGCTAATTCTTGTGGATTACAAGATGAAAATCTTGTCCAAATCAGCACGTGAAACCAAACAAGACTGGTTCAGAAAAAATGGGTGGTCGCTTCATTCAGTATTGGTATACACAACTCAGAGAAATTCAAAAAAATTACAAATTCAAGCATTTGACCACTGGTCTGCAGACATGCGGCAAGATTCATAGTTTACTGCTTTCTCTCTTCATGCAGTAATAGAAGCATTAGAGAATAAACCAGATTCTGTAATTATTATGTCTAACAATGGTGGTCATTACCACAATGTGGATCTAATGATGATTATGGGTTACTGGCCAGAATAGTATGGTATTAAAGTAGAAAAATGGGTATTTTTGGAGGCTGGGGAAGCCAAAACTACAATCGATTCACACCATGCCCAGGTAATAATAATGACTACTTTATATTAGACTAGGTGCTAAAAAAAGAGAAAATTTCAAAATGATTTAGAATTAGACTAGATTATTTTTTACTTAAGACAAAATAATTGTATTAATAAAATCCTGCAGTATAGCACTTTAGAATTTATATATACTTATAATTTATTGTATACATAGTACCCAACTATATAATTAATATCTTCTAACTAAACTATTTAATTTAGATATCTTACGCTATCAATCGCCATATATGTCTTGGTTTTGATATTTCTGTAGGTCAAGATATAGAAAATGCTATTAAAGGTATTCGTGAAACCTCTGTGGCAAATTTAAAACCAAATCGAGACAGAGGTTAGTTTTTAAAAATATATTTGTATATATTTTTAATCAATACTAATATACTGTAATAGGAGATGGAAGAAATACTATACCTGGTAATTCGAATTGGTTTGAATAGCAATAGCCAACTGAAGGAGAGTTTGCTGAATGTATATTGGCTCGTACAATTCCTAATATTGGAAACTGAAAAATATTTTCACCTAACGATTTAAAAAAATTATGCAAAAAAAATATTTCAATACCTAACCCAGAAGTCTCTACTTACACTATCCCTAAGTCTAATTAGAAAATTCCAGTTCTTATACGTAAGTATATAAAAATTGATTTTAAATAATAGATCTAAATCTTGCATGTCTCAATCGGCAAAATCTAGAAAAAGAACCGATGCTAAGAGGGATGAAAACAAATGAAAAGGAAAATAGAAATATTCTAGTGTCGGATTTGAAAATTCAACAAGAAAAAAATCAAGATACCAGATTAGGTAGTAATTCGGCAATTGGTTTGTCAAACTCAATTTTTCTTATAACACAAAACAATAATTTAGACACCCTGGCTTTGATATTAATTTTGCATTAACTTATCAATTTGCAAAATAGATTGTGAAATGAAGCTTAGTGTATTAGTTGAAATGAATAACAATAACGACAGGTATTATTATTGTAAATGTTGATTTGACAAACACTTTAACATGCACTAACTATAGATATTTTCTAGATCAAATGCTGTGAACTTTCCATTACTATTAGGATGGGCATTGAAAGAAAAGTAAAAATATGGAAAAAAAGGTACTGGAAAAAGAATCACGAAAAAAGTAAGAACAATATTGAAGAGATACTTTCTTGCAAGTAATATTGACAAAAGCGATCATTATAATGCACAAGACATGTATCAAGCCCTTCAAAAAAAGGTACTTGAGGGTGAAATTGAGAATAAAGATGTTCCAAAAGTATCCACCATTCAAAATTGAATAGGCATTATACTCGTCAACATCGTGAACAAGCAGCTCAAATTAATATAAATACATAGAAGAATTCTTCAATAATATATATATTGATTTTAATAATGTAATAGTCATATTAAATTATATGAATAAAATAATTTGGGATAATAACTTCCCTGAAGTTTACCACAATATTAGCTTTTTGAAAGTAAGAATAAAAATCAATGAAAATTACAAAGCATTGATAAAAAAAAAACTTATAAATGCTCGAAATTTATGCAAACTTCTATTTAACGATATAATATGTAACTAACAAATTCAACTTTTCAACCTCTTTATTGTAGGGAAGAATTGATAATTTTAATACATATTGATTATTATTGCCTACTATTCTAAACCTTTTTCATACAATAAGTGATAATAAGATTCATTAAAATTCTGTGCTTACAATTCCAACCAAAAGTACAAGATCCCAAAGACTAAGCGTTTTACTTATTTTTTTAGAAATAGTAGATCTCAAGCATCTTCAATGTGAGTAAACTTGATTGATAGTTCTAAATTATGAATGAATAATTTGAAATTTAGTAATTTATCTGAACTTTAATAAAAAGCATGATCCTATTGCCGTAAAAGTGTTTATATAAAACCCGGATCTATCTCATTCTACCAATCTTACAGCTACTTTCATAATTCTTGAACACCTAATAAAAATTGATCAAATGATATTCCGGTCGATTCGATTAAGTTTGTAATTTCTGCATAATATATTCAATAAAATTGTCAGGTGGCTAATATAAATATTATACAAATACTATATCTCCGTTGAGTACAGAAGTATGATGTTTTTGCTGGAAAATAATTGAAGACCTATATTTAAAAAATTGCAAACACTTAATAATTAGCATATCTTTAATAAGTCAGGTTCGCAAGTGCTTGGATGTGTTAAAAACATCTATTGCTTTTAAGAAGACCACACTGAATTACTTATCTAATCGGCAGAACATCATTTAGTCAATTTTTATCAAGAGTTCCAAGAATTATGAAAGTAGCTGTAAAACCTTTAGTAGACCCAGATCTAGTGCATACACGGCCATAAAAGTGCAAGTTGAAAAGAACCAAATAAAGATTTAATGGTTTGCATCGAGTTTAACTCTTGATGGGCCTATTAGCTTGGAAATTTTGTACAAGCACTTTTACGGCACTTACAAATTAGCCTACTTGAGAAATTTGGGAGGTAGTAAATTATTTGTTAGCTAAATGGCTTTAATATTTCTAGAAGTAATACATATTATAATCTGTTCTCAGATTAAAAATCTTCGCTATAACTTACGTCAAGAATACTAATGTTGAGGATGCTACTTTCATAATTCTTGAACACCTGATAAAAATTGACCAAATGATGTTCTGGTTGATTCGATTAAGTTTGTAATTTCTGCATAATATATTTAATAAAATTGTCAGGTGGCTAATATAAATATTATACAAATACTGTATCTCCATTGAGTACAAAAGTATGATGTTTTCGCTGGAAAATAATTGAAGACCTATATTTAAAAAATTGCAACCATTTAATAATTAGCATATCTTTAATAAGTCGGGTTCGCAAGTGCTTGGCTGTGTTAAAAACATCTATCACTTTTAAGAAAACCACACTGAATTACTTATCTAGTCGGCGGAACATCATTTAGTCAATTTTTATCAAGCATTCTAAGAATTATGAAAGTAGCTATAAAACCTTTAGTAAACCCGGATCTAGTGCGAACACGGCCATGAAAGTGCAAGTCGAAAAGAATCAAATAAAGATTCAATGGTTTGCACTGAGTCTAACTCTTGATGGGCCTATTAGCTTAAGAAATTTGGGAGGTAGTAAATTATTTGTTAGCTAAATGACTTTAATACTTCTAGAAATAATACATGTTATAATCAGTTCTCAGGTTAAAAAATCTTCACTATAACTTACATCAAGAATACTGAGGTTGAGAATTTCGGTAATATTATGATCAAATCTAAACTATATATTGAGTATAACTATAGTGAATGATTCGTTAGAACTGCAGAAAGATAATGAGGTATTGAAAGAGAAACAATATACAAAAATGTGATAACTTATAGTGTAAGTATATAGTTGAAAGTTCTATTTTAGATCTAGTATAAAAACTGAAATCGCAAGATGAGTTTTACTTTGGAATCTGGCTCTGTCGCTGAATATACATACTTTTTTACTAATAAAAAAATAAAAATAATTAAGATAATTTATTTTTGGGTTTCAACTATTATTTCTATTGTGCAAAAATAAAAAAAGCTCTTACTTTTATTAAGTATTGTCTAAGCTTAAATATCGCAACTAACTAAATTTTTATTAATGATCTACAAAAATTTGCCCCAAATATTACTAGTTATTTTCACTAGTTGGTATGCAGATCATGAATTAAAAATTATTTAATTTATTTCGAATTAATTCAAATTACCACGAAATATTTCAAATAGTATCAAATAAATTCGAATTGATTAGCGTTTCTTTCTCATTAGTAGCTATCTTTTAGTTTATATATATTTACTGTTTTGATAAATTTATATCTATTTGAATTGTTTTGATCTAATTCAAAATATTTTGCAAGTTATAGCGTAATATTGTGCTATAAGTTTCGTAATTTTGCGTAATATATTTCGTAATTTTACGTTATATATTGCGCAATATTTTGCAACTTTTTGCGCAATATTTCGGGCCGTAATAACTTACGTAAAATTACGTTAATATATTTCACTAATATAGTTGTTGTATTACTTTTGAAACTATATATCTACTTTTTTTAAATACAAGTAGTCTCTTTCTGGGTTCTTTTTACTTTTTGGCCAGCCTTTCAAAAATTTTTGACTAAAAGTAGGAATTTGGTTTACTCACTCCAAAAGATCGATATTGTTTATTTGCCAAATTTAGATAAACTTAGTAGAATACAATTACATGTCTTGTTTATTTGTAGATTTGATACCCTTCATGTTATCAGCAGATATGAAGCTTTCTATGTAACTGGGATTAGGTCTCTAGTAAAGGAGATTTACAAAGTTAATCAGTAGTCAAATGATATATTGTTAAGGCATTGCTTTATAGTTAAAATATACAAATATTGCAGTTGTTATATAATTTTTTCTTAAGCCTAGTATGGGTTATAATAGTGTATTTTTCTTTTTTTTTCATTCCAATTGTACTATTTATTGATAGAGATAGTTTTCCTCTTTGTTAGTTCTTGAACTTTTTTCTTTGATTTTTATTTTTAAAATATTATTAGTAAACCAAGATATTAATTTTAATTTTTTGTTTTTATGTATAATTAATAAATTAGACTTTAAAAACTTGCCCGAACTTGATTTTAGCTTAAAAATATAAATTTTTTAGTTTATAAAGTTATTAAAAACTAAAAAATAAATAAAAAATAAAAAAAAAACTATAAAATATTATAACAAAAAATCGATACAAAAAATATTAGTAAATAAATTTAAAAAAAATTTTTTTTTTTTTTTAAAGCTTTGACAGTCTTGCCAATCCTCAAATTAGTGATAGTAAACTATCTTAAATATAAGCCTAATATTATCCGGCTGTGATAAATGTGCCCAGCTGTAACTTGTCACACCAACCTGTATACAAGTTAGATAAACTTTGTCAGCTCATCAAAGCTAATCCCTTTATATCTTTTTTCTTTATCAAAAGCAAAGAAAATGATGATTTTATATCTACAATTACCTATAATAAAAAAAACAAAA